AGCAACTCGTTGATGAAATCCATGGAAACACTCTTCCAATGCCTGCTCGAAAAAGGGAAAGGCTCCAAAGTACCCGTCATCTTTCTCCTTTCTATCTTGTCCTATTGGCACACCAAACAAGTGTGCACATAAAGCTCCAGTTCTACTTCCATGCGAGGCCAATAATAACTTTCTGCCAATAGGGCAAAGGTCCGTTCCTACCCCGGATGCCCTAAACATCGAGCATCGTGAGCCTCTTTCAACAACATTTGTCGAAGTCTGCCCAACTTTGGAACATAAGGCCTCTTTCCTTTGGCATAGCACACACCATCCTCTACCCAAAACGGATAAGTCACTCCCTCTTAGACCTGCTTTAGCAAAAAGCTGGTCACGACATCAACTTTCGTTTGATCCTGAATCCTTTGTAGCATATCTCCAGCAATCTGGCTAAGTGCGGCCACCATCCCATTAGCAACTGGGATTCGGCTAAGTACATCAGCAACCTAATTTGCACTGTCATGCTTGTACTACAATGCAAAGTGGAACTGAGCAAGAAAATCCTGCTATTTTACTTGTTTTGGTGTCAACTTTTTCATGGAATTGAAACAACTGGTAGCCACATTGTCAGTCAGCACTAGAAAATGTTTCCCTAGTAGATAATGCCTTCATGCATTGACACAGTGAATGACTGCTGTCATTTTCTTTTTGTGCACCAAATAGTACCTCTTAGTATCATTCAGCTTACTACTTTCAAACACCACTACATGACCATTCTGTACCAACACCCTCCAAGAGCAAAGTCTAATGCATCTCTATGGACTTCAAAGGGCAAGTCGAAGTTAGGCACCCACAAAATTGGGCTAGTTGTCACCATTACCTCCAATAGATCGAATGCCTCCTGGCATTCGTAGGACCAGTTCCAAGCACTATCTTTCCTTAAAAAATCAGTTAAAAAACAACCTTCTTTGAGTAGTTCTTTACAAACTTCCGATAATAATTCGCTAAACTAATGAATGAACGCAATTCAGTCACCTTAGTGGGGACAGGCCAATCCACAATTGCCTCAATTTTCTTTGGGTCCATCTTTACTACGCCCGCAGAAATAATGTGCCCGATGAATGAAATTTCCTTTTGCGCAAACTCACATTTTTCCGGTTTCAAGTAAAGTTGCACTTCCCTCAACTTTATCAAAGCCAACCTAAGGTGCTCAATATGCTCCTCTAGGGTCTGACTATAAACAACTATGTCATCTAAGTAAATCAGCATGAAGTGATCCAAGTATTCCCATAATACATTGGTCACCAAGTTCCAGAACGTGACAGGGGCATTTGTTAAGCCAAAAGGCATTACTAAAAACTCATATAACCCATACCTCATCACATAAGCTATCTTCGCCTCATCTTCTTCCACAATTTTGACTTGATGATATCCCAATTGCAGGTCCATCTTGATGAAAAAGACTGTTTTTCATAATCGATCGAGCAACTCATCAACGAGTGGGACTGGATAGTTGTTCTTGATTGTCACTTTGTTAAGGGCCTTATAATCCACGCAAAGCCATAAGGAACCATCCTTCTTCTTGTGAAAGAGGACAACTCTGTATGGACCTTTTGAAGGTCTAATGAACCCAATATCCAATAAACTACCAAGCTGCCTCCTTAGCTCCGCCAATTCTGATGTACACATCCAATAAGGCGCCTGAGCAGGGATTTTTACCTCTAGAATCAACTCAATGGCATGTTCAATTTCCCGCCTCAGTGGTAATCTGGCTAGCAATTCTTTGGGTGCCACGTCCTTGAATTCAGCCAGCAACTGTTGCACTGGTTCAGGGACTTGTAATGCTTTGAACTCCGCATCCTCAAATAAAACAACCAAGTTGTTTCTCCTCTTCGCAAGCCATCTTTTACTTACAAGGCAGACAGAATTTCCTCCGAAGACTTGGCGTTGATGAGGGGTACAAAACAAGGATTGGGCATGTCCATCACAAACATCCCATGAAAATGAGGCATAACCGACACTCTTGCCTTAGCAAGAAATTCCAACCTAAGGATCACCTGAAAATCGTCGAGAATGACTGCCATAAAGTCACATGGTCCTTGCCAATCACCAACTTTTAATGGGACTTCTCCAGCAACACCGCCTACAGGTTTTGCTTCTAAATTGACAGTGTTGATCTGGCTAGAGTCTTTCGTCAAAGCCAAACCAAGTCGTTGCACTTCTCGATCAGAAACAAAGTTGTGCGTCGCACTTGTATCAACCATCGCCTGGACAAAAATATTATTCAGCCGAATCTGCACGAACATCAATCCTCTCCTCGCTACCATCTCCTCTTTGTGAATTCCATTAAAGAGTTGAAATGGATTGACTCATGTAGGCTCGTTTGAAAATTTAGCATCCTTAGCCATCAGGGCACTGAGTTTTTCCATCTTGGGGAAATTTTTGGCATGAGGAGGGCCATTGCAGATAAAACAGCCTGAGTTAGCACCTCTTTTTGACACAGAGGGATTTTCGGTCTACTTTTTTGTGCTGCCAGACTTATCGGCCTTCTTCTGCTGGGCTTTCTTTGGAAACATGGTTTTCCCTTTAGACTCATTTTCAAGAGGGTTAGCCTGCGTCTTGTAATCAACCAACGCGTCTATTGCGGACATAGCAACAGGTAAATCCTTCACCCCTTTCTGACTAAGTTCAACATGTGCCCAAGTTTGAAGGCCAGCCATGAAGTTAAGCAGTATGTCTTCCTCTGACATGTTTTTAATATCAAGTATTAGATACGAGAATTGCTTTACGTACTCCCTCATTGTGCTTGTCTATCGAAGCTTTCTCAAAGCACCATAAGCTTGCCAAGCCGTGTTGCTTGGAAGGAATTGCTCCTTTATTTCAGCGGATAAAGCATCTCATGTAGTGATTTGAGGATGACTTGTCCTCTATTCATGTGCGCCACCATAATTTAGCATCATCGGATAGGTACATGCTGGTGAGATCTACTTTCTCAGCATCAAGAGTACGGACTACCTTGAAGTAGTGCCCCATATCCCATACAAAGTTCTCAAGCTCTTTGGCATTGCGAATGCTTGTGAAAGGCTTAGGGTCAGACACCTTTGCTTTCTATGTGCCTTCACTGCTAAAACCCGAAGGAGCATTCTGCAGTGCTTTCTTGAGCAATGACACATTCGTCCCAAGGAAACTCAAATTTTCCCGCAAACCATCGGTCCATGTAGAAACTGTGGCCAACACATCAACAACTTCATTTTTCAACCAGTTAAAGTGATCAAATTCGCCTTTTGAAGTTGTTCTTGTGACTCCCGCATCTCTTCGAACCGTTGGTACAGCAACTCAAGCTACACAGAAAGAGCCACAGCATCATCGAACTATGGAGGACCAACCAATTCCTCCAAATGAGCCATTCTTTCCCTCAAATCCGCAGTCATTCTGTAAGCCATGGGTCGATTTTTCTGCCAAAACCAACACTCTGATACCAAACTGTCACTGATTAACTACTCATTTTTCTTTTGAGGCTACCCATGAAGACATTGTCACTGCAACCAGCCACACAAACTCTAATATAGGGACACACAAAGGCAACACATGAATTTGTTGGAAAAACACTCCCAAAATTTATATTGAAGCTCTCTACAATTACAAGGAAATTCAGCTCTTAAGCAAGAACACTCTCTACTTCTAAAGAATGCCCAAGCACCCCTATTCATACAAGGAGCATGACAGATGACACTCCCATCTGTCAAGGGGTTGTTACAACAATTTGCCTATTCTCTAAAAGACATGGTCAACAAGGCTACCTCTCTACGCGACACCTGGCAGGCAGTTCCACCTATTCAGCAACTGATGTAGAACTACACTTATCTGCATGCATCTGGACCAAAATGTGGCTAAGAACGTCCAGAATTGCCTCTCAAAGACTAGGCCATGTTCAACAACTACTTTGACTGAGTCATGCACCAGCAACTGCCCCCATCCTCCTGATCACATGCATTGAGCAACCATGTGTCAGTCATGTGCTCACAATTCAGCAGCCAACCTTGCCCATGAACCAATGTGCATGCTGGGTCAAGCCCATGCCATGAAATTCGAATCCATGCACCAACATTGCCTAAATTGAGCGCACCGTATGCTTCCATACTCAGTTGGGTGGTCTCATGCTGCCACGGTCTGCACCAACCTGTCGAACCACTTAGTCGTATCACCTTGATTCCATCTCATGGCATGCCTTAGTGTGCACCCAAGTCATTAGGGTGTGACACTATGCATCAATAAGACAATGGATGCACCATTGTGAAAATCGAATCCCCACCACCAAATGAAGATTAGTGTTTCTTTTCCCAGTTGATTTGTTAATACACAAATCACTATACACATATAGATACATACATACATACATACATATATATATACATACATACATACATATATATATATATATATATATATATATATATATATGTGTGTGTGTGTGTGTGTGTGTGTGTGTGAATGTACATATGCTTGTATGTAGGTAAAACTTTGGTTTTCTAGTGATGTTGAAGAAGGGTAATTCAAGATACAAATTGTTGTAAGACCTATTTGATAGCATGTACTACCTCTGTCTGTTGACACTAGTGGTGGTGCTTCCTATCCTACAAAATTTGTTCGTGGTCTTTCCAGAAAATTATGTTGGCAGAGGAACTCATTGATGATGGAGCACAATTCTAACTATATAAATCACAATTCAACATTCTATAATGTTACGTGAGATAAAGTAACATTCGTATACTGCTATAATTGCTCCCAAGAAAAGAAGTGACTTGACTTTCTATTTTGTTCTTTTACACCAGAATGTGTTTTCAAATGGAAGGTCAAACCAGATATTTTCAATTTTCACTCCATGATGCTAAATAATAAAAATATGATCTCTGAAAAGGTTATTACTAACATTTATGATCCTTTGAAACAAGAACGACCAGAATAATAACAGTTAATATAAAGTTTTTTTGAAATCGAGCATTGAAAGCATCTAAAATATTTACCTCTCCCATCGATGGGCGCATCTCGGGTTACTTTGCACACACAAGTATGCTGTCCTGGCCATGTGGTACAATTCATATGTGTCGTATGCATCTCCAATACAAGGGTCAATGAGTTTATGTAATGCAAGCCTCTCAATAAGTGGTTCCGCCTAATTGTCACAAATTATGTCATGATCAGAAACAGAAAATAAAACGTGATTTTTACGAGAAGGAAAAAAGGCTTCAACATGCTTTGAGATGAAATAAAATGGTTTAATTTTCCAGCCCCTAAAGGCCAGTGAAACATACCCACTGCCGCAGAGAGTGTTGTTGATCTTCTCTATTTGAGTCGACCACCTTTCGACCTGATATCAACTGTATCAGAACAATGCCGAATGCATATACATCTGTTCGTACAGAGACAATACCACTCTCTGTATACTCAGGTGCAAGATAACTGCATAAACAATAAGAATTCCGTTCTATTGAATAATCTAAGATGGACATCCAAAACAATATTGCAACACTTTGTATGTTTGTGAAACGAAAATAGTAGTACTCACCCAAAAGTACCAAGTATCTTAGTCTGCACATTATCATCATTTGCCTTCCACTTTGCCAGTCCAAAGTCCCCTAGCTGTGTGAAAAAAAACTCCTTAAACCACACAAAGGAGTGAAGCTTGTTTCTAAACCCTGGAACATTCATATAGTTAATATCCTTTTATTCATTTTTCAATTTCGGTTTTTTTTTTTTTTTGGTGTAGTTGGGGGGGCATCAGATATCCAAACCCAGAGTGGAATAGCACATCCAGCAGAAGATAAAAATAAAAATAGATTCAAAAATTAATTGAACATTTGCTATTTGAGTTACTAGTTTGCTTTTGTTGAAAAAAACTGCCTCTACCAGATCAATGAAGCCCATGTTTCCTACACCCAAAAGATCTGCGCAAAAGTATTAACTGTTTCTCTCTGTTTTTGTACTTTTTATTGCACCAGTTGACCCTACTTTATGCTTTTCTTCTTTGTTTCTTCTCCATATATTATCATTGGTGGTATTTGTTCAGGCTCTGAGTACTATATGCAGTGAAGGCCCATGAAGTTGTGAAACTCACATAAGTATGGAACTCAAGAACTCTTTACTTGCAAGGGATGCATTGCTGGAGAATATTACATCAGTAGTCAACACAACCAGAAAGTTGGTAAAATATGATGCCATCTACGATGATTATTGCCCATAACAAATCAAAGCACCAACACGCATAAGTTTCCTAGATGCAGAATTCCAATCACAATAACATTGCAGAAAAATCTGACTCTATGAAAGTAGAAACTTAATGTACATAGAGATGAGACCTCAATGAATGAACAAGAACACGTAGTGTTATACATGCAAAAAGAACAATTTGTTGTGGAAAATACCCCTGGAATCAAATTTGGACCGATATTGACACTCACACTCAAGTGGAAAAATAAAAAATAAAAAATAAAAAATCATACAAGACAAATCCATTTACGAGGTTTGGCTATTGCCTACGCCCACGACACCAGCAATTGGATGTTTTCACTATCGAGTAAAACAAGAGCACAAGACAATTTTTTCAAACTTCACAAGTACTCACTCTAACAAAAGAGGTTCATCACTAGTGTCACTCACAGATTTGATTCCACTCATATTAACACCTAATATCACTCAAGAGAAGACCTCTTATTGCTCAGATACGCTCAAGCTCTGGATTTTCTCGATGCCCGAACACTGCCTGAGCCCTCTACTTTTATAGGCAAATATGAGAGGAAACAGACAACACAACAAATGAGTGCAAATCTGATCTTGATCTGCGCATGAATAAGCATTTCACCCGCAACCCACTTCTTTTGACTTTAAGCCACCGTTCCTTTGGAAATTGAGGCCAAGCTTTATCTTCTGACCAAAGCCATAATGGCTGTCAGACCACAAAAGTCAACAATTCTCCACCTTGGCCTGAAGCCGCTCATGCAATTTAAAAACTCTTTTCAATCATAGTCTATGAAGCGCCTTACAAGGCAGTCAAACTTATAAAAATGTTGATATAGTGCAAGCAATGTTCAAACTTAATTGTTGAAACCCCTTTAGTCAACATATCAGCTGCATTATCTTTAGTGCCAACTTTCTGCTGAGAAATCTCTCCATAATCCCACAAACAAAGTGAAATCAAACTTCGATATATTTGGTTCTAGCATGATGAACTTGGTGTTTCGCCAAGTGAATGGCGCTCTGACTGTCACAAAAGATGCTCATTTGCTTTTTTTTCAATATATCCAAATAACCAATCAAACCCCAGAGCCATAAAGCCTCCTTGACGGTCTCAATCACTACCATATACTTTGCCTTAATTGTTAACAAAGCTACTATTGGTTGTATCATACACCTCTAACTGACTGGACCATGGGCCAGTGTGAAAACATAACCGTAATAAACTAGACTACAACTCCCACAGGTATGGAGAACTCAAAGTCTATGAGTAGCTGTCCACATCAGGCTGTCAGCAGTTATGTTCCCGAATAGCAGGGAGGAGCGTGAGTATTGTCTCATGTTCCATATGCGAGTGCAGTTGGAAGCTTGACGTATGCTATGATATGCACTTGTCCGAATATTTCACATGCAGTCAATATGGTAAGCCGATACATAGCAGATCCTGGTAAGGAACATTGATAGGTGCCTAATCCTAACCCTAACCTTAGCCTCAACCAAAATCAGCAGCCCAGCAACCCACCAACAACCACTGCCCAGCCACAGCGAAACCACCCTTCCCAGCATAACCAGCCACCAACAGCCTCCACCACTGCCTAGACCAGCACCTTCAACAGTCTACCAATACACACTGCCCAGCCCATCGATAGTCTCAAGCAAACCAAAATCACCAGCACAAACACACCGACAAACCCAAAATCTAATTGCAGCCCACAAACTCAAACCAAAAATCCATTTCCAGTGTACTCCCCCCTGCGTAAGTCTCTTTATGAAGTGTATGCGATGATTGAGAAGCATGAACGCCGCGTCCGTGTTGCATCACTATTAATTGCAGCCTTGATTCCTCCGGCCGACTAGATGGCCTTTGTCGCTGCTGTAGAGTCTCGTTCAGGTTCTTCAGCCAGGGGTGGACAACGCTCAAAACAACGCCGTCAAGGTGCCCTAGATCACTGCAGACAGAGGGATTCTCATCAGTGTGATTATTGTGGCCGACCAAGACATCTCAAGACTACTTGCTAGAAGCTCCATTTGGAGCTCAAGCCCCCTCTTCGCAGTCATACTACTACTATTGCTAAGGTACCACCACCTATTGCCGCTGCTCGTGCTGCTGCTCCTCCTCCTTTGCAGAGTGATATAGATGTTATCACTTCCTAATTGGATATTATTATGTCTGCCCGGACTTCTCAGGGTCCGACTACTACTGCTGCCACCACTACAGGTATACTTTGGGCCTTTCATGCTTGCGCCAGTTCATCTCCCCTTTAAATGCTGGACTCGGGTGTAAATGGTCATATAACAAGGGAGACCCATCACTTCATCACTTTTCACGAGCAGTTACATACACAGGTTCAGCTAACAGATGGGACACATGCCCCTATTGTTAGTAGGGGTACCGTCCGCCTCTCAAATAGCTTTATATTATATTCAATTTTTCATAGGCCAAAGCTGGCCATGAATATATTATTTGTACATCAGTTAGCCAGAGATTTTCACTATGCGGTTGTGTTCTTATCTGATTCGTGTTATTTACAAGACCTAAGTATTAGGAGGATTGTTATCAGGGGACATAAGAGAGATAGACAGTATTATCTAGGCGATCCATCTCCAGTTTCACCAGTTCCTCCACTTGAATCAATTGCACTTACTTTGTCCTTATCTGTTCTTAGCTTGCATGCTAGTATTTTACCTAGTACTTGTCATTATGATTTTTCATCACAAATTGTTCAGTTGTGGCATAACCGTTTTGGACATAATAATTTTAAATATTTATGTATGTTATTTCCTACTTTTGGTAATACTTGTGTTGGTGGTAAACTTAATTGTGTTATATGTTCCCTATCGAAACATTTTCGGACTAGTTATATTCCTCGCATGGATTAATCACCCAAGCCATTTGACCTAATACACTCTGATATTTGGGAACCCTCTCCTATTACTGCTCTATCAGGTGCTCGATACTATGTGACATTTATAGATGACTATACCAATTGTACTTGGGTCTATTTTTTTGCATAGAAAGTCTAATGTACTACTTATCATCACTCAGTTTCTCTAGATGATTAAGACACAATTCAATGTCATTGTTCATGCTCTTCGTTCGGATAATGTCAAAGAATATGTGTCTGATGTCTTAGTGTCTCACCTTTCTTCTTAGGGTATCTTTCAACAGCTCACTTGTCCATATATTCCTGAGCAAAATAGAATTGTTGAAAGGAAAAATAAGAGTTTGATAAGGATGATACGTTGTATACTTTGAGCTATGGGGGTACCAAAATCTTATTGACATTTTGCTGTTTTGACTTCAACCTTTCTGTGCAATCGTACACCGAGTCGTGTTCTTTAACATTGGACTCCCTTACAAGTCTTATTTCCTGAACGGACACTTTTTTCAATCCCCTCATTTTTTTGGCTGCACATGTTTTGTTCAATATCGGTCTCCTAATCATCATAAGCTTGATGATAAAGCGATTTGATGTGTCTTTGTAGGCTATTATTATTAATCTAAGGAGTATCGGTGTTATAATCCTATCAAATGTCGTATGTATCACAGTCTAAATGTTACCTTTCTTGAACATATTCCTTATTTTTCTTCCAGTCCTGTGTCTGTCCTTCTAGTTGATGATAATCCCTTTGATTTTCTGTTACCACAGGAGTCAGAGCCATTGGTCACTATCACTACAGAGTCATAAGTTTCTCCTCCTCTAGAGTCACTCGTCCCTGTCAGTACAGTATCATCGGTCTCTTTTTCTTTGCAGGTTTATGTCCTCGCTTTCATCCCTCTGCTAATATCCCCTCTACCTCTGGCGATGCAAGTTATACTTATCAGTTCTTTGAGCATATTGATGCACCTGTTGTTAGTATTGATGAGATTGTAGGTACTGAGCTAGTTACTTTACCTGATGAGACATTGTCAATAGAGGATGCTGATTTAGGGCATCATTATCCGTGGCGTGATCGTCGTCCAGCTATTTGTTATGGTTAGACTACCAGGACTTTATATCCGATCTCTATTTGTGTTTCTTATAGTGATCCGTCTCTTACATTTTGAGCTTATAGTATGGTCTTATTAGATACGCCTGTTCCTTACTTTATTTCAGAGGCTATACGGGAGCCCCAGTAGGTTCTTGCCATGCAGACGGAGATGGATGCTCTTCAGCGTAATCATACGTGGGATCTTATCTCTTTACCTTTAAGGATAAAGCCTGTTGGCTGTCACTGGGTTTACACTATGAAGTTTCTTACGGATGGTACTATTGATCATCACAAGGCTAGGCTTATAGCAAAGGGATTTACTCAGGTACCAAGTCGTGATGTTGGTGCTATCTTTTCCCTGTGGCAAAATTGACTACCATTCGGTTGATTATTTCTCTGGCTGCGGAGTACTCTTGGCCTCTTCATCAGTTAAATGTGAAAAATACATATCTTCACGGTGATCTAGACGAGATTATTTATATAGATATAGCACCGGACTTTCGTGGTGAGGGGGAGTATGTTGGAAAGGTAAGTCGACTGCATAAGCCTTTTTATGGACTGAAACAGTCACCACGAGCTTGTTTCTCTTGCTTTAGTGGTGTAGTTGTACATTCAGGATTCACCAGATATCATTCTGATCATACCTTCTTCATTCGACGGGATACTTCTAGACAGTGTGTAATCCTTTTAGTATATATTGATGTATTATTATTTCTAGAGATGATGTTTTTGGGACTGTGCAGGTCAAGGTAGACCTTAAGAAGGCTTTCAATGTGAAAGACCTTGGATTTCTGCAATACTTTCTTGGGATTAAGGTTTGCCCATAACAGTAGGGGTTATTGTTCTTTCTCAGAGAAAGTATGTTCTGGATCTTCTCTCGGATACTGGAACGCTGGGGTGCAAACCGGCATCATCATCCAAAATTTCAAACCTGAAGCTTACTGCTGAAGGTGAGGAGTTAAGAGATTCAACTGTCTATCAGAGGCTGGGAGGTAGACTTATCTACCTAGCCAACACTAGACCAAACATTTCATTCGATGTCAGTCGAGTTAGTCAATTCATGCACAGGCCGTATTAGCCTTATATTGATATAGTTTATCATATTCTTCGGTACCTCAAGTCTTGTCCTGGAGTTGGGTTGTTCTATGTATCAGGATCTCAGACTGGTTCTCTAGCCTGTTACTCAGATTCAGATTATAAGAAAGGGTGTGATGGTCGATCTACTACAGGTTGTGCTTTTCGAGTGACTTATCTTATCTCTTGGAAGAGCAACAAGCAGGCAATTGTCTCCCACTCGTCAGCAGAGGTAGAGTATCGGGCATTAGCACTTAGCACGTCTGAGATTATCTGGCTACAATAGATTCTTGGCGAGTTAAAATTTCCAGTGACTTCTTCATCCACATTATATTGTGATAATCGATCTACTATTCAACTCGTTTCTGACTATATACTATACAAGAAGACGAAACATATAAAAATCGATGTTCACTTTCTTCGGGAGAAAGTTAGTTGTGATATTATCACTCTATTGTTTGTGGAGACCAGTGATCAGGTTGCGAATGTTTTCATCAAATCTGTCTCTCTATCCATTCTTCAGAACTCGGTTATCAAGCTTGGCTCAGTTGACATTTTTGCACCTAACTTGAGGGGAGTGTTGGAGTTATAGTCTAGTTTATTAAGGTTTCTTTTGGCTTCTTTTTCCTTTTTTACCCTTACTATTACTTTTATGTTTTGCCTAGACCATAGGGATGTTCAGATCACTTTATACTATTGTTTGACTATATATACGGGACTCTACTATTAGTTCGGGTATCCCTTTCACATATCTCAAGTATACCAAATTGAGAGAGTACCTTCTCCAAGTACTTCCATTGTGACAAGCACAATCTACCCTTCTTCCAGTCTCTCAGAATTTCCATGCCAAGAATTTTCTGCACTCGAGTCCTTCATCTCAAAATCTTTCCTGAGTTGAGATTTTAACTTATTGATTTCCACCATGCTCTTAGGAGCAATGAGTATGTCATCAACATATAAAAGCAAGTAGACAAAAAGACCATTTGGTAGCTTCTTAAAGTACACAATGGTCATACTCACTTCTGGTCTATCTTTGCATCAACATGAATGTGTCAAACCTTTTGTACCACTGTCTTAGTAATTGCTTCAGTTCGTACAATGACTTAGTTTGCACACATGAGATTCTTTACCACCAACCCTGAAACCTTCAGGCAGAGACATGAAGATTTCTTCCTCCAAGTCCCTATGAAGAAATGTGGTCTTCACATCCAACTACTCTAGCTCAAGATCAAATTGAACTACGCTGGCCAATAACACATGATTGAAGTGTGCTTCACCCCTGGTGAAAATACCTCATCGTAATCCACCCCTTTTTTTTGCACATAGCCATTGAGTACCAACCGTGCTTTGTATCTGATGTCATATGTTACTGGAGAACCTTCCCCCTTTGCGTACACCCATTTGCATCCAATCGTTCGCTTTCCCTTCGGCAATTTGACGAGCTCCTAAGTATGGTTCTTCTAAAAAGAACTCATCTCCTCATTCACGGAGGTTTTCCATTCCTTGCAATTATTGTTGTTTATTGCCTCCTAGAATGTTGATGGCTCATCACCCACCATAATAAGTGCATAAGATAGCATATCTTCAAAACTATAGCGAACTGGTACTTTGATTGTCCTTTTGGTCCTCCCAGTTGCTAAAGATGATTGTTGTAGCTGTTCTTCTAATGTCCCTTCATCTGGAATAATATCATCTAGAGTACTAAGCTCCACCTAGAAAGGATCACCATTTTCCTCCTTTATTTAAATATCCTTCTACTTGTTGGAAGTTGGCATAGCAAACTCATCAAAGGCCACATCCCTACTGATCATAAACTTGTGCAATTCAAGGCACCATAATATATACCCCTTCACTCCAATTGCGTAACCGAGAAAGATTCTCTCCTTAGCTCTTGGGTCAATCTTACTTTCTTTGACATGAAAATAAGCTGAACACTCAAAAACTTTAAGGGAACTATAATCAACTAGCTCGCTAGACCATACTTTATAAGGATTTCTACACTCTATAGCTATTGATAGTGATCAGTTGACAAGAAAGCATGCTATGTTGATAGTCGTAACCCAGAATTCTCTATTTAATCCGTCGTTGGATAGCATACATCGTACTCTCTTCAACAAAGTCCAATTCATTTACTCTGCAACTCCGTTTTTTTTTGGCGTTCCCTTGACAGAGAAATGTCTTGCAATACCTTCATCTTCACAGAACTTCAAGAATGGCTGGTACATATACTCACCACCATTGTCGGTTCTCAACTGCTTAATCTTTCTATCAGTTTGCTTTTTGAACATGGCCTTCCACTTCTTGAATTTTTCAAAGATTTCATCCTTTGTCTTCATAAAATATACTCATACTTTGCGAGACAAATCGTCAATAAAGGTAACAAAATCTAGATCTCCCTTTTGAGACTACCTTTGAGGGACCCCAAACATCCAAATGGATGTAATCAAGAGTGTCTTTTGTGCGCCGGATAGCTGTACTAAACTTCACCTTGTCCTGCTTGCCAAAGACATAATGCTCGCAGAAATCCAGCTTGGTCGTTTTGACGCCACCAAGCATGCCTCATTTACTTAATACTTCCAATCAAATGGCCACTAGGCTGGTTCAGCAATTAGATCGTTCAAGTGTGAGACCCATCTAAAAACCGTTGAACCGGATAGTTTTCAAACAAATACGTAAAACCGTACGGTTTTGGTAATGACGGGCTGGGTGAGTGAATCTATAAAAACCCCTACCTTTTTGGCCATTTTTACCCTAATCTCATATCCAACCTCTCTATTTTCTCTCACCATCTAAGTCACCTGACCACTCTCACCAACTCATTAATCTCCAATCATCATTTTCGACAAAGACATCTCAATCTTCTCATATATTTTCTCTGGCATCCTCATTCCCTCTCTTTATTTGTACCAGCAACCATATTAGATTATAGTCCACTAATTCCAACTACCATCTATGGCGATTTCTCTCATCCTCTCACAGTCATCACAATAGATCTCGCTGTCTCACAATGGTAGCAAGGTTGCAATATTTTAACTGGTAGATCTTTCTCAACTCTAAGATTTTTTTTTCCATTTAGGCCTATCACCTATGCATCTTAACAAGTAAGTGATTTTTATCTTTAGACTTGGGTCTTATTTTTTGTATGACTTTTCATTTGTAAAATTGGTTCTAGAATTTTGATAAGTGCAAATCTACATGATTTTGTATTTCTGTAAGTGCAAATCTATATGAAATGTTGATGAGTGAAAATCTATTTGAAAACATGATTGGATTTAACTTTGCATTTAGAAGATTTAAGGTTATATTTCTTTATGAGTTTTGTATCTGTAAACTTGTATTTTAAGGCTTTAATTCTGTATGAATTTGTGTTTGTAAAGATCATATTTGTTACTCTGCCTTTGTACATGATTTTTTTCATGTACATTGCTTACTACAGTTTGAGTTTTAGGAGTGCAAAACTCGTGAAGTATTTTTTAATTTATGCATAATTAGAGTCATGAACTTGTAAATTGTCTTGATAATTGGATGAATTGGATATATGTTTGATAATTTTTAGAATTTTGTTTGATCTAATATAAATTAAATATGTTACTTTTACTATTTTTTATAATTTTTAGCATATATTTGATTATTAATAATTTTTTAAACTTTTTTTATTATATGACCGATTCGACCATTGACCCACTAGTTAAACTAGTGATTCATTTGACCCGATCCTTTTGTCGGGTTAATGTCTGGGCTAGGTTTTAAAAATTTGCTTCCAATCCCCTCTCACTCATATGGTCCAACCGTATATGTCATAGATGAGTAGAGATCGAATCATTATCTCTCGATGTAAACACCGCTGCATCATCTATCACTGTATTATCGGATAGAAAATATAGATTTCCTATCTTGCTTCCTTTCATCACGACCACAACATCTCGAACAACTTTCATACCTCCACCTTGGGCCACAATCTAGCACCCATTGGAGTCCGATGCACCCAATGAGATAAGGTTCTTCTTTCACTTAGGAATATGTCTAACTTCTGTTAAAGTTCTCACAATTCCATCATGCATCTTAATTCTGATAGTTCCTACCCTAACTATTTTACAAGCCATGTTGTTTCCCATCAAAATAGTGCCACCGTTAACTTCCTTGTAAGAAAAAAATCAATTCCAGTTAGCACACATATGGTATGAACAACCAAAATCAAGAATCCATCCATTTGACGCACTTATATTGTGAGGCGAGACAGACATAACATTTTTGGCATTATCCGAATTGTCTTTAGCAGTACTGACAATGTCAGACACCTTATCTTTGTTGTTCTATTACTTAACTTTACGCTTTGGATAATCTGTTTTCTGATGCCCCTTCTTATGACAATAGTGACATTGAGAATTCTTTCGATCTTTGACTTTGGATTTAGACTGAGATCTGCTGCTTACAAGATTTCTATTATCCGTCCTTCCTCTGACAAATAGACCCCTCTGTGTAAGAATCAGTACTGGGAGTCTTCTTTCTGAACTCATTTCCCAGAAGTGATAAAGTAACATCATCGTACTCGATGGTATCCTTCCCGAAGGACAATGTAGTGATAAGATGCTCGTACGAATCGAGTAACAAGGACAACAGTATCAAGGATTTGTCTTCAACTTCCAACTTAACGTCCATGTTTAGTAGTTCAAAGACAATTCTACTAAACTCGCTAAGATGATCATGCATGCATGTACCTTCCTTCATACGAAACATGTATAAGTATTTCTTAAGGTACAATCGGTTAGTAAGAGACTTTGTCATGTAAAGGCTTTCCAATTTCAACTAAATCATTGTGGCTGATTTCTCAAACATAACGTTGTACATAGTCTTTTCTGCCCATAAGAAAGGCACTGCATGCCTGGAGATCGAAATCCTTCCATTCTTTGTCATCCATATCTTTAGGTGTACCCTCCAATGCTTTGTGTAGTCCCTGTTAGATTAGGACATCTTTAACTTGGACTTGCCAAAGCCCAAAATTGTTCCTTTTGTCAAATTTTTTCACCTCGAACTTAGCATTCAAGATCTTTGAAAGTTTTGCCACTATGACTTCAAAACTTGATCCCGTGAAGTCCAAGGAATTGGTGCAGAAAATTACTATTCCTTAAATAGTAGTATATAAACAATACCCGTAAATAGTACTAATGAATAGTACCCAATGAATAATAATCGTATACCGTGCTAATGAATAGTACTCGTATGTGGTATTAATAAAGAGTAACCAGAATTTGCACTAGCTCTGATACCCAATTTGTTGCAAAAAATATCTCAGGAATCAAATTTAGACCGATATTAACACTCAGACACTCAAATGGAAAAATAAAAGTACAATAACACAAGACAAATCAATTTATATGGTTCGGCTATTTCCTACGTCCACGACACCAACGAAATACGAGTACAATACAGTTTTTTCAAACATCACAAGTATTCACTCTAACAAAAGAGGTTCACTCTAATATCTCACTAGTGTCACTCACAGATCTGATAACACTCGGGTTGACACCTAATATCACTCAAGAGAAGACTTCTTATTGCTCGAATACACTCAAGCTCTGGCTTTTCTCGATGCCAGAATACTGCCTGAGCCCCCTATTTTTTATAGGCAAATATGAGAGGAAACGGACAACACAACAGACCGGTGCAAATCTGATCTTGATCTGCACATGAATAACCATTTAACGTGCAACCCACTGCTCTTGACTTTAAGCCACCCTTCCTTTGAAAATTGAGGCCAAGCTTTATCTTTTGACCAAAGCCTTAAAGGCCATCAAGCCACAAAAGTCAACACAATTGATATCTCATCTATGTCTGCAATCCTCAAATTTAAGCAACTGGATGGATGAAAAATTTTAACATGGGGCACAAGGCAGGAGTACCACATCTTATATACAGTCACTAGAGTTAGCATATCATGGTCCCCATTAGTTTTAAGCATGATGCCCTATTCGTTTCCTCAGTTGATTAACATAATCCTGCATAATTATATGATTCCCACTGTCAAACGGAAATAAAAAATTTTAAATTAGATGTGTTATATCCTGGCCATTGGGAAATAAATCCTTAATTATACAGGAAATCCCACGTATTACAGGATCATTTCCCTTAGACCACAAACTGTACAGAAAAATATTCTCCCCAACCCTCCTACCCCCCCCCCCCCAAAAAAAAAAAAAAGAGAGAAAAACCAAACAAAGAAAAATAAGAAAAGAAAAAAGAAGAAGAAGAAGAAATACAAGATCACAAAGGACAGGAACAAATGGAAGACAACTGAACACTTGAATTCATTCCTGGCTCTGATATATGGCTGCCAATTTCTAACTTTAAAGCTTTACCACTGTGTTTTTGTTAAGTTTGGTATGTGGAAAGAATTAAAAACTACCACAGAGTAAGCAAGGTGTACAATAACATACAATGGGGGGGGGGGGGAATAGCCCATACCAAGGAATACAATCAGTTAACACGCACACAATAAGCAATTGTTGACATTGCATGTGGATATTATTTCCTCAAAGGGGAAAAAAAGAAAATGGATCAAAAAATTGTACAAAGCATAATTTATCACAATCGGTAATATGGAAAGGGGACTCCTTTTCCAGGAACAGATCAGCACTACAACAAAACTCATTCACAGTCCCGTTACAAGTACAACGAAGTCATTTCATATCTAATGGAGATGATGATAGACCTTTTTTTTAATAGGAAACAAACTTTTATTAATGATAATAGATTGATTCAATTTCTGTGCATATTTGATTATCCCATATGAGATAAAGAAATATCAAGATGAACAAAAAGGATATATAGTTTACCATGGGCACAAACTCGTGTGTGAGTAATATATTGCTTGGCCGCATGTCCCGATGAATTATAGGACTTCCGCGGCATTCTTCATGTAGAAAACGCAGTCCTTTTGCAGTTCCAATGGCAATAGCATGTCTTTGGTGCCACTCCAGAACATTTCCTGCTTCATCTATCAAGATGCCCCCAAAATAGAAAAAATGAAAAAGGAGAAGAGGTTAATCTCATGCCATTCTATTAAAGCAGGCACAGTAACAACCAATGACTTCTGCGAAGGAGGAATTTGGGTCTAGCAAATCCCAAAAGTAACTTACCGAAGAGATGCCAATCAAGGGACTTGTTGCAGATATATTCATACACCAAAATGTTAAGGTTTTCCTTGCAACAATACCCAAGCAGCATCACTATGTTCTTGTGACGTGCGAAACTAAGGACATTTACTTCAGAATGAAATTCCGTGAATCCTTGTGAACTCGCTTCCTTCCGTACCTTAGCAGCAATGAGCTGCCCATCTTTAAGCTGACCTTTATACACATGACCATATCCCCCTTCTCCTAACAAATTCTCTTTTGAAAAATCACCTGTTGCAAGTTGTATCTCAGAGAAAGAAAATCTCATTGTATCCTTCATAGACATGTCAGTCTTGATCCCACAAGAAGCACAAAGAACAGGTGCATCAGAGGATCTATGCCTGCTAGTACTTTCTCGTGGTTTCTGGAGGATTGGTGAAGAAATATACTTATTTTCCCCTTTGGTTTGCCTACCTGTTGACAATGTTGCACAAATGAATGAATGGATGACAGAGATTTGCTGCCTAGTCTTTGCCTACTTTGGTAGTCTAAAGCATAGGATGTCCAATAGCAATTGATAGCGGATACAAGACAGGAGTATTCTCTTTATGGATTCAAGGCACTGGCAAAGAAAAATGAGAAGGGTAGTGTCTTATCTTGGAAAACAGCTTCCTGCTAAGGTGTTATACATCATTTAATGCCTATAAAAGCATAATCTGTGAAGCAAAATTGCTTATGCAACTTCAACACTCCGACGTCCAAGTTGTCTCATTCATTAAATGGCAATTTTTCTGGATTTTAGGTAACTAAAATGACACCTGAAGGACCTCTGTTAGTACAAAATTTTGACTGAAATTGGTGAGAAGTAACAAAATTTATAATTTCTGAAACTTTTATGCTGGAGCTACTAGCTTTTTGTTTTGTTTTGTTTTGAGTCCTTTGACGTTGATTCGATTGTTTAAAGATCATTTTATTGGTCAATAAAGTATTTATAACATGTTACTACAGTGCTAAATGCCAAGACAAAGCCTTTCGCATATGTCATACATACATGAGCAATGTACTTTATCTATTATTCCTCTGCGGGATCTTGAATTAGCCTAGTTCAAGTCAACTGACAAGGGTGGTAGTGTTGAGAAGATGCACTAAAGAGTAATTGTAATGGGATTCTGGGAAGACCTTGCACACGAGGGAGTTCGAATGTAAGTTAAATGGACGACCCATGCCCAGACGCGATGGTGGCTGAGGTGGTACCATATGGTCCCATGCCCAGACAACAGAGTTTTTAGAGACTCTTCCTCAATCTAGTAGCAGAATCTCTATTACTGTTTCTCATGATGATATTTAGACCCTCATGCGCCTGATGCCATGGCTTCATGTTTCCCCTACTAAGGCTTCTAATCTTATTTCTTCTTCCAACTTTGCTCGCACAAGTATATTTGCCAGAGTATTTAGTGTTTTGTATTCACACTGCTTGTATAGTAGATTTTGGAGATACTAACCACATGACAAGTTCTTCCAACCTTTTCTCCTCCAATTCTACATGTTCTGATAGGGATGTAGTTGATGGAATCAAGCTTAATATTATTACCCCGAACAAATAATTCACCAAGAAGCAAATTTCATCTGGCTGTGAATTTCCAACTTTAAAGAAGCCAGTGTACGTGACCATAATAGAACAAAAAGCAGACATGCTTTCCAAATTTCCAATGTATGAGGGTTGATAGTTTGAATACCATTTAAATGCATTTAGCATGGATGAGATATGCCAAAAACCAGTCAAACTTAAGCATAATAGCTATTTTATCAATTAAAAGATACGATAAGCTCTGTTACCTGATTTATCTTGCTTAGAAATAGAGGCAATATCAACATGTGATAGAAAGCTATACTCCCGTGGCCTTTGCATGAATGAAGACGGCAAGTTGCTTTTAAGCACGTCAGAGCTTTCCATGGAACTCATGGATGCAGAAAAGCTTCCGCAGGAGATAACAGATTGCTCATTGTTCTCATTATCTTGAACAGCCAACAGAGGAACAGGCTTGGACTTAGAAAAGACCAACTTATGTTCTATATTATCTGTATCAGTAGAATTATGAGATCTCAAAACTTCTACAGACAAGTTATCTTGAATGAATGCAATTTTGCAAGGTATCTGTTTAAGGTAAAACCTAAAATCCCGTCGGAAGTGCCTGTAAAATTGGTAACTTGTCATTAGGACTTGGAATGTAAATCAAAAGAAACTGAAGAACAAATGTAAACATACAGATATGCAGAAATAATCGGAAAAGAGAATCCAAACCACATTGTTCAAAATGGAGAAACCGTTTGAAGTCTGAACAACTACTTTCTTTTTTCTCTTTTAATACAAGCAATGCTCCACTCTCTAATCCCAATCCACCCTTTAAATCCCAGCTAATACTTTCACTACTCTGTTACAAAAGCTTTGGCATTGAATCAGAGAGACATAAAAAACTGCATCCCTTATTGCTAAGAAATATAACAAGAGAAACTATTAGAGCATCCAACCCAAAACTAATTGGCAATAGATGGAGTAGCCCCTCAAGTATATAAATCAACCTTGGTGGTCCTAATTATTCGACGTGGGATACAAGCTCTCTCTTTATAGCCTCCCTCAAGTGAGAATCAGGCTCGCATGTAGGGTCAACAATAGACTAACAAACAAACAACCATATATACATGGAAATTCAAATGGATAAAAGACGTGGGCCACGTGGCCCACTAACCACCCCAAGGCCTAGCTCTAATACCAATGGTTATGAACCCATGGGTATAACTTGCCCCGAAAACTATCTTGCAAGAGAAAAGTGTCCAGGGGGCCATACACATCTAGTCTTATATTTAATTGATGTGGGATTGTAACATTCCACCACCCTTCCATGTCCGACATCCACAGTGCATTCTATCAGCACTCACCAATAGTAGCCTTTTCCATGAGATAGCATTATACCCACACATAATTCCAAGTCTTCTTAATCCAGCTTATAAGTCACCCTTTCCATAATACCCCTAGCTCTGATATCAATTTACTCTAAAAGCTATAAATTGTTAGACGGAGTGTAACTTAGGTATTTATGTTTCAAACACCACCTCGCTTGCGGGCAATATTTTGGGCTAAGCATGTGAAATTTTTTTAATAATTAGGATGATAGCGAGATTCAAACACACCTCCTGTTGTGATATCATGTTAAACAACCATCTACTCCAAAAGTTTAAGCTATTAGAGAAGGCGTACCTTAAATTTTGGACCAAACACTTGCAAATCTTGTAATAATTAGGGTGACGACGAGATTCAAACACGAGACTTCTTACTCTGATACCATGTTAAACTAACGTTACATGGATTATGTGTCGATTTGGTACGTGGTAAAGGTACGGGTATGGGATAATATACATCTTTCGGTAAGCGATACGATGGAGGTAGGTTTAGTTAATACACTGTTTTGAATCATGGTTCATTTTCTATAGGATCGTTTTCTTTGTTATATGAAATTATATGATTGTACATTCATCTACATCTAGTTAACTAATATTTATTTTGGACCTTGAGTTACAATCGCAAACCCACCCCGTTTTGGATCGCGCAACCCATGGAACGATAAGTGTGTCTACGATCCCGATATCTATATGTTAAACAATCATTTACTCCAAAAACTTAGTCTATTAAAGAATGTGTAACTTAAAATTTTATATTTCAACATACCCGTTCATGTGCAAGCTAGATTCTGAGTCTAGCACGTGAACATCTTCTAATTATCAGGGTGATGGCGACATTCGAACATAGGACCTTCTATTCTAATACCATGTTAAACAACCATTTACTCCAAAAACTAAAGTTATTAGACAGAATGTAACTTAGGTATTTATACTACAACAAAAATCATGTCCAATAGGATGCAACTAAGAAACTGACATCAATGAGAATTAGATGCAATTATATATTTCTCATAATAACCGGTTTTGATAAATCTCTTGGCTTGCTTTGAATGTGTGTATAGTTAGGAATTTGATTTTGATTTTCTTTTCTTCCATCCTTTAGAATTGGAAAAATTAAAAAAGAGCATCAATTCCGAATATAAAAAGAATTCGATCAACAATTTGATTCACAAGGGACAAATATACTTGATCTTTAACAACAATATGATTGAATCTCAACCCATTTAGTCCTACACATTTAGTATTTCCTAAATCATAACAGAAAAATTCTCATTATTATGGAAAGGAAACAATAGACCTAGTCATATCTGATAGAGTTGAGGGACGGCGTAGAAGAACAACATAAAGTTTTAAGATCGAGTTTCAATTATTCGTCCAGAATTCTTTTCCACAAACAATAATGTCCATTCAAATTTTAGAAGTGCCAGAGTTTTATTTGAAAGAAAGTACCCTTTAAGGAACGACGTCACTGATATTTCCCCCAATTTAGTAAAAAGTAAAAACTACAAAGAGATTATAGATGCAATTGAATACGTCGTTCAATGAAATTAAATAACATAAATGAATGTAGTAAAGAAATAGTGCAAGAATTTTGTAAAATTTCTGGAATGATTGCCTCATCTAAATTGTAAGAAATCCTTAGGATTCTAAAGGATGATGACACATAAAATAGTTCCTCTTTGTGGAAGGTCATCAACAAACGAAACTTCTAATTTAAGCAACCAATGCTACAGATTTTTAATAGTTGCTACCTTAAATGAACTAACAATGGAACTTGATCAACCAATTTACTTAGAGCAACTACAAACTAGCTTATTGCAAGGAGATTTCATTAACTTTCCAATGCATTACAAAATTTAGGAATCCCAGATTAGGGTGGTCGTAGATCAGAATTAACAAAGGAAGGAGAATGTGCAGTTGGGCTGGGATATAGATTGAATGAAAAAGAAAGAATATTGATCATATTTCAAAACAAAAATTAAAAGAAGATATGATATACCATTTCATCAGTAGAGATTGTTTACCGAAGCATGACAAAAAGGACTATCAGTATTAAATTCATCCATGCAACCACACCTGAACACACTTGGGTTGTTATTTGGAGGGAGGGAGGCAGGGATGGGGGAGAGAGAGATGAGAACAGAAGAGAAAGTACAGAAAGGCAAAATAGAAATTCTTGTCTTGGTTAAGAAGAAGAATGGAAGAGAAAGAAAGGAAGGAAAAAGACAAGATTTAATGACAGAATCTACTAACATTCTTATAGTTGTGCTAAATGTTACTTCTCTTTGCACAGAAAATCATCTCAATTTTAGAGTGATACATTTTTTTTTATATAGTTCTCCATTTCTCTTCTTTCCTTCCTCTTTTATAGAACCAACATATGCCAATAAGCGTTTTTGAAGTTTCAATTTGCTTCTCCTCTCTCCCTAGCAAAACATGCATAGTTAATTTAGATTGTCATACATCAAAATGAGAACAAAGTACCTATCAAGAATGACCCAAGTTGCATTACAATTTGTAATCTCTTGTACAACAACCTGCTTCGGTGGAGTTCCAGCAGTAATCTTGACTTCAATGTCAACCTGGAAAAAAATAAATTATTGTCATGATGAAGAAAACCGAAGAATAAGGAACTAGAACCACTTTACACTCCTGAAAGCATACTCTTAACAAAAAGATCATCTTTGAACACACTACATATTTTGTTCAAAAAAAAGCACACTAAATATTGCATAAACATCATCATGGATTCACTTAAGTTTTCCTAGACATACTAGGTATACGGATTGTCTGTGATATTTCATTCAGAGCGTCTCATAGTTAAAATTTGAGATTCTGATCTTTTAAATTTACCTTTCGAAAAAAGATAAAAAAAAAAAAAAAGATATTTCATTCAACGCAATTGATATAGAAAAGGTCATCAACTCCGTATCAATGTTGCAACCTCTTTATCTAGGAAGCATAGATACTGTAACAGGTGTCATATCTGATACGATACGAGCACGATGATACGACAAAGTTCAAAAATATAAAACACAAATACGGCAAGGATACAACTAATTAAAATAATATAATGTACTTTTAGATAATAGTAGAATTATAATATATTAAAAACAAAGCATATTTTATAACAATATTAATAATAAGACCTAATAAATATTAATTTTTTGATTAAACTTGAAATAGATCAAAAAAAAACATCCACCATTTTCATCAAATATCATTACATCCATTAACATTTATAACATATAAGTTACATAAAAAAACGCAAAAAAAAATAAAATAAAATCTAAAGAAATCACACCCCTCGTAATTGTTAACAGTCATTTTTAGAAAGAAAGCAACATCATGGTTGTGTCTTGATCATATTGTGGTCGTGACTTAATCGTGTCCTAGCAATGTCCGAATGAGTTCACTATTCATAACACTTTTAGACGTGTCAGACACTACCACGGCGCCCCTCAGGAAATATCCGCGCTTCCTAACTCTTTATTGGAACATCTTAGACCTAATGGATACAAATATACTTGGAGGGTGGGCAAGAATCGATACAATTTTTTAAAATAAGCCCCTTATAGGATGGAGCAGGATTTATCATCCAATCTGCCTTAGAACAAAGAATGGAAAGAATCATCTAACCCTAGGTAAAATTCAATAAGATATGTAACACCCTTTTGGAAACATCTACGTATAATCCAACATTTAAGTATCACTATGCATAGAGCAGGTTAGACAACTAGTTACTCCAAAAACCCAAGCTATTAGAAAATAGTTCCAACAATGTATATCAAGTTCCTAATGTCATCCCTCATGTGCAAGTCCCTATCGCACACTGACAGACAAACATACCCACATAAAAACAGAATATACATACATGTATATATTGATAAATTGGAGAACTAGTGAAATGGGGAGACTCAAACCAGGAACTTACGAACAAATCTTTTACACCACGTTAACTACCACTTTTTTCCCAAAAGCTTAAGTTGCAAGAGAATAGATCCAGCAATGTATATCAAGCTCTCAACACATACCTCAACTGCTTATGGTCAACTGCATAAAGGTTTTGCAACCCACTATCGCATCTACATCTGGACCCGAAGACCAGAAATTTTCTTGATTGGGGCCATTCAAAAAATGAAAAATGATATTAATTGAAGAGAACTTACAAAATTTCCCCAGATACAATGGCATAACATCACAGCAAATAACTAACACTTGAATAAAATTGGACAGTGACTTATTCAAACCACTACGTAAATAACAAAAATTAAGGTAGCGCAAATTTTGAACCAAGTGTTTATATGAAGAAAACGAATGAAAATTTTGATTATGCAAGAACATAAACGAACAATAATATTCTGAACAAATCAATTCTCTTCACCATGACAGCTAACATTACTAAACATAATTTACGAAACAATCCAGTCTTAAAATTAATCATATGCTCAGCAATTTGCTTTACACTGGTTTACAAGAATAACAACTTGCACAAGAGAGCACATTGCATGCTTTTAGAATATAAAACATTCAATTAAAAAACATATTAAAAGTTAAAAATCACGGTTAATTCTACGAACATATTGTGCACATAGCAAAGCTTTGTTACGGATTATTTCCTTGCCATGTACAAACAGCAGCAATGGAGCATTATTTTTTCTTGCAAAAGGGAACAAATGGTACCCTCGAATTGTGCAACACATTTGATCATCACCTCAATGAGTAGTAAGGCTTGTTCAAGATGAAACAGTTATGCTGACTACTAAATGCATTTTATTACCCCCTGCTCTTCAAATCCTTCAGCACTATGCATGAGCATGGTCACATATGTGTCAACTTTCTTTGAAACTTCTTCTTCCAGTGCACGATTGTGTGCTCCAGCAGAAGACTGAGGGGATGCTTGCATTTGGTAACCCACTATGCCAAAACAAATAAATAATGAATGAGCAAAAAAAATAATCTAGAAAGATAAGTCATAAAGTAATTTGCAAATTGTGATTGGTGATCCTTTAACAGTTTTGCACAACATGATATGCAACAACTGTCAGATGAGTACTTAAAATAGTATTCTACAATTGTATGTATCTATGGACAATTGGTAATTTGGTATAGCAGAAGCCTTGTGCTTCATATAGCCTCATTAGTGTGAGATGTTTCACAATCCAGCGTTCATTGACATTCAGAAACCACTATTTTTTCATATAGTCTAGCGGTTGAATATTGTCTATTAATCGCGGATATAAAACGTCACAGACATAAGTTATTCGAGGTTAGTGGTTGGCCTCATAGCTACCACCCTCGCTTCTGGACCTTAAGCTCGTTGGTTCAAATCTCGTCGTCCCCTTCCTCTATAATAGTGCCTGACCAATTAAAAAACTGGTAAGTTCATAACTGACCATGTTGTCAAGGTGATAGGTTGTCCTTGACGAGCCATTTCTCTACTTGGCTAAGCCTTTGATGCTTCATTGTTGTTTCATTCAAAGACACAGAAGTGTTTAGAGCACGAAGTGAGCATAAATGGTATAGTATTGGTACACCAGATGCTATTCTTTGGGACTGCTGAAATGACCACCTAACTTAACACCTTATGGAATGCGCTTAGTCCCATTTCCTGAGGCCTTCCGTACAACACTTCTTCCTCAATTCACTAATTACACAACATGAAGCAATACAAAAAATACATCCCTGTATTTTACTGCCCTACATGAGTGAGCAGACATGATTCTGCTATTGGAAAATCTCCCGTAATTTAAAAGCATCACCTCCTCTGAAGCTAACACCAAAATGATCACCATGCGTCATGCCAAAAACTCACCTTTGCAGGTAAACTTTGGGAACCCCTTCCACTCTTCTGCACTTCTTTGTTTGTAACCTAACCCCACTAAAGCTCCAAATCATCTGCCAATCATTCATTCCCAGAATTGTGTATTAGGCTCCACCACTGGCCTACACTAGTTACCTATTCCCATACCTACCACTACAACCACTTCCAAGTAAATCTTGATAAAAAGATTCAGTTGCCTGACATGATAGCTCTATTCCTTCAAGCGGGAACAAACTAGGACCTGCTCCAACATAAACACTTCTTGGAAAAAATTCACGTGGATTTTTCATAAGAATCTGCAATGAAGTTGAAAAAGTCAAAGTGGGCACAATGTGCTTGGAAGAGGAAAGATCCTCTTGTACCAAAAAAAAAAAAAAGGTTCCGCCCTTGGAATGACACTACCTTCAGCATCCAACTAATCTCCTCTCAAATCTTTCCAGCACCAAATGCTAAACAGGTTCAGCCTTCAAGATTTAAGCAAAAGTAAGTCCAAGTAAGAAGGGGGGAAAAGACCCAACCTTAAATCTTTCTATACCAGACCAACCCAACCCCCTTCTCCTCCCAGAGCCAGTAAAAACAGATCCCTAAATATAAAGGAAAAATTTGCAACCTATACTCAATCAGACATGACACATCTTCGACCTTCCTCGTCGAAATGCTCAAGGGAAAAAAAAAAGACAAGGTCATAGTCAACTTAATCTCAAGTAGAGCTACCATTGAGTGAGACACCATCAAAAATAAAATAACAGCTAAGCTATCTAGACTAATCCTTTTCCAATCTCATGCTTTGCACTTAAAATGGCCATTTTCTCTAGAAAAGCTCTCACAATCCACTTACACCAGGAAAAAAAATAAACACCCGTACTCCAACATAGTTGCCACACAGTACCTTTGGCAACACATTGGCACACAGCCCCATTGGAAACAGACCTTCAAACCTAAAGAAGTACAAGGCAGAACACAGTTATAAACTATATATGTAAAAGCTCCCCATAGTACCTATAACAATAACTTCAGGAGCAAGTCCTATCAAATGTCATGGTACTATGCTAACTATCCGGCTGACAATCTGTTGATTTACCATTGTATTGATTGATAAGGTCACAATTTTATGTACGTAGAGATGAGGGTGGGGAAAGGTGGGGATTGATCTCTCATATTCATAATTTGCACTCTGTTGCAACTTGTATTAATTTCTCCTTAACCTGCCTTTATAATTTCTCCTTCATACAACAGGTCAATACAAGATTTCAACAATAAGAACTTCTTCAAAGTTCCATTAATCTCACAGTAAGTAAACCTGATGCACTTGCAGGGGACTCCACTTGCCATTAGTGAAAGAAAAATAAAGTACTTTGTTAAGTTTCCCTAAATTCATTAAGTGGTCCAATCCTCCCATTCACATGTTTCAACTCACTTTTGAAGTAAGTTCACTTGAGAATCCGGGCCTACTTGATATAAAGACTGGCATCATCAAAATATCCCTCAAAGTCAAGCATAACCCAATGCATCTTCATGATGTTGGTGACAATGGAGAGCATCAACACTCCACGACAGTCACTGCCATTACAAAATTAGTTGGATAGTTCAATAATGTCTTGGAGAAAAATCAATCATGCCACAAACAATTCTTTCTACCACGATCGTTGTGGCAATGTCACGAAGCAAATAAAATGATTCATTCCCATACCTAATGCCAGAGAAGAATTCTTTGAATTAATTTTTATTACTAAATAGCAGTCCCAACTTTCATTTTATTTCTTGTGATTGCAAGATTTGTGTTCTTTCTGAAATGAAATATTATACCAAACCATCAAGATAAATCAAACTCATTGTGATACAATTAATGACACTAAATGGAATGACAAGTTCCTACACCACAGGCAATTCATCAAACACTTACAGGGGTGAAGCACTTTATGCAAAACTCCAAGCACCATCAATGTATCACCTCCGCGAAGAAGATCACCCCGCAATCGAATATTATCAAATATGCTCTTAAACTCTTGTTCCGTGCGATCCTTGGTAGCATCATATGCCACAACCACACGCGCCGCCATTAAAGGATTATTCTCCATGGATGACATTTCTTGAAAATCCACAACTGGGTAGTCTTGAAATCAAAGATAGTAGTCGAATTTGATTTTCGAGGCGGTGGAGTGAGCGTAAATGAGGGCGGAAAAATGGGTTTAAAGAAGATCAACAAATGATTCTGGCAAGACATGAGAGAGAGTGTTTCGTCCAATCACAGTTTGATCAGTGATTCATTGGCACAACCCTTATTTGCTTTCTCTCTCTAGAATTGTTTTTTCTCTCTAAATCTCTGCATTTGTGAGAGAATATTTTGAGGATATCCAAGTGATATGCGTGAGGATATTCGAATAAAAATGGCGGGAAGTGATTTGCCGTCCATGTAACTGTAACAGAGAGGTGCTCGCAGGGCACATGAAGACAGGTACAACGTCCAAATTGCTTCCTCCTCTCCTCCCAATGAATCACCGAAATCCCTTTTTGTCTCTCTGGCAACCTACAGGGACTGTCCCAGACTATACTTACACGCAACGAAAATTCAAATTTTTGTTTCGGTGTCTTGTTCGTGGAAACGAATAAATAAATATTTTTAGAGTTTATTTTTAGGATTAATTGCAAATTATACCTAAAAAATTTCTTGAATTTTAATTTATACTCTCAAAGATCAAAATTTTAATTTATATCCTTGAATATATAAATTTGTATTAATGTATTAGGCTAACCACCGTCAATTTGTCGTCTAAAACTAAATAAATAAATTATACCTAGACTCCTCATATTTGTCACCTAATCACTAGACCCCCTCACATTTATAATATTACATCTACACTCCTTGACGTTTGTGCGTCTGTAACACATAACTTCTTGTCGTCAATATCCGTTAATATAATTGTTAAAAAACATAATGTCATCCTAATAAATAACTATAATTTCTATATTACCCTTTATTTTGTGGACATGTTATACTTTATAGTTCAAAATTAAATTTTCCCTTTGAATGTCTAATACAATATATGTATTATATAATGTTCAAGAGTACTGGTATTATATAATGTTCTTTATATCTAATATAATACATCATTTGAATAGAATTATTTGGATGTCCAATTAGGGGAACACTTTTAGTCATATGTGGATTCCCAAGGGTGTAGGTGTAATATTGTAAATGTAAGAGGGTCTAAATAATTAAGTGACAAATATGAGGAAGCTTAAGTTTAATTTACCCATTTAATTTTAGCCGACAACTGTTAACTTCAGGTGCACATAGGGTTGTTCAAATTTTTCGATTATTCACAATTTTCAACCCTTGATCGGCCTAAAAAAAAAAATCAAGTAAGAATACGGCAAAATCTTTTGTCTTATGATTAAATCAGGTAAGAATACGACATATTCATCAAATTTTCGTATTCCTACCCTTACCATATATATATATATATAAATAAATAAAAATCCTAAGTCTCATCTCTCGTTTCTCGCCTTCTCATCTCGTATTCTGTATTTTTGAGTATACATTTTGTGATCATAGTATATGATTTCTGATTTTTCTGTTTTGATGTGTTTCATATGGTTTAAACTTAAAATAGTTGTTGTTGTATTTGTGCAACAATTATAATAGATTGATGTTTATGTCTTAGGTTTTTCTTGTGTTTTATTGTAATTGTTTTAAATTTTAATATTATTGATTTATTGTACTGTTAAATTGGTACATATTACTTAATTAAATTGCTAAAATTATTCAAAATTAATAATTACAAAACGTTTTCACCCGATTAATTTGGACGAAATTTAGTTAGGAATATTATATTTGATCAGGTAGGGTATGCCAAGAAAAATGTCTTCTGCAAAGTATCGAGTAAAAAGATGAAAAACTATATTTCTACCCGTAAGGTAGGGTGAACATCCCTAGGTACACATTAATATAAATTTATATCTTTGAAATTGTCAATTGACATTTTTGATATTTAAGAGCGTAAATTGAGATTCAATAAATCTTTTGAAATACAATTTGGATTAACCCTTGTTTTTAAAATATTTTAAAGTATCGATCTAAATATATTAAAATATCCTCAAACAATTCAAAATATTTTAAAATAATAGTAGAAACATATCAAACTATCTTAAAATATCTCGAAATATTCTGAAATATTTTCGAATGACCAGAATTTCGTTTTCATCATTGTTTTGTTTTGGTCCTATTGGAAAGAAAATATTTTTGTTATTTTGACCATTTCAAAATAAAATTTTAATCATTGCACGCAATCATTCTCTCATTTTCCATTTTCATTCAAAAAGTTATTAATTTATCAAAACAAAGTTCAAATTCAATTCTAAAGTTAGTTTAATAAATAAATCGAGCTCAAAAAAAGATTTATTCTATATTTTTTTTGAAGTTTATAAAGGTATACACTTAGTTATTTCTATATAAATACACAAATAAAATTTGAAGATCAAAACAAGCGTAGACTCAAAGAATACTCTTAATTTCAATTCATTAAATTAGAAAAAGAGTTTTAACAAATAATTATCGAGCATAATTTGAATGAAATGATTGAAACTTGTCAAGATCTCAAGCATCACTATTTCATGAACAAATGAATGGTGTCGGAATATTCTAATGTTTTATCGGTTTGATTTATTTGCAACTTTGTAATTGACAAAATTTTAAGACTGATGTGATTGGAATGTGATTAAGACTAATTGAAATTAAGGTATTCAAATAGACCCCACTTAAACAATGTTTCCAATTGTCTAAAGTTTGTTTTTTTGTTAGTTTAACGGTCAAAAGTGTTCAGACTAATTTACGTGTATTTGAATTAATTTAATCCCCAGTTTGATCAAATAGATACTCATAGCTTGACTTCAAAGAATTGCCAAGATTCAAAGAGAGAACGTTTGAGTGTACAACTCTCACCAATCAATTGATTAGGTGTAAAAACAATTGCTAGTACCCGGGAGAAATTTTGTATTTACTTTATTGCTTCTATAATGATCTACCACTTTTATAGTTATGTCTTCAATATTTACATTTCTTTAAGAGTACTATCATCCCATCTTCCCAATGCTACAATTGCTAACCTATATAGGAACATCAGAGGGGTAGTCTTGAGGGTGTTTCTTGATAGTTTCTCTCAGTAGTCTCTCTTGCTCAGATAGGTTTGATGGCACTTGGTCATAGACATCAGTGAACATGTCTGAAAGCTGAGGTTTCTCTGTTTTCTCTGCCACTTGAATTGCATGCAATAGCTGCAAAAAAAAAAACACAAGTACTAGGTTAAGAGGACAATGTGCACTAAATGTTGGTCATAGAATATAGGCGAAGCGAAAATTTATGAGAGTATTTTTGAAATTTTTACCTGCTTCCTGACGTTTTCGTGAAGTTCTGATTCATCTTCATCACTCCACCAACCATTTCTCTGAACCCATTTTCGAAATCTGGCTAAAGGGTTTTGAGCAGTTTTCCAGTGTTCAATTTCTTCTATGGGTCGATACTTGGTGGAATCATCAGAAGTAGAGTGGTGTCCAACTCTATAAGTGAGAGCCTAATAACAATCAAGGTTGAGAGAAATAATGATTTAGAATGCAGAGCTGTGTTGTCTTCACAGAAGGGAGGAGGCTAACAATAAGGAGGGCTAAGTCACTTCTAGTTCTCTACTTTCACTGTTCATTTAATTCTGGGAAGAGAGATTGAGTCTAATTTCACTCCAAAATCACTGTGTTCAAATCTAATAAAAGGAAGACCAATCATCACATTAAACAAAGTACATGAAACTCTTTAGTTTCACCTCAACTAATATGGGTCTTTGCTCACTGATGGCCATTTCACGAGCTACACGAATGGCGGTATAAACAGCAAGTGCATCATTTCCATCTATCCTTATGCTTCGGATTCCATAAGCTTGACCCTTAACAACAACACCATCACCTGAAAAAGGAGAATTGAAAATATTCCAACCTATATTAATATCAATGTATGACCCTATATTAAGATGTTTGAGTGACCAATAGTAAAACACAGTCTAGCACACGAGACTCCCAACGTTTTGAATGCACAAGATTGTAAACTGATAATCAATATGCACACCCAAAAGCAACACCATTAAAAGATTGGGATGAACTGTTAGTTATGCTAAACTCGAAAAATGCAGTTTTGGATGTAAATGCAGGCCTTAATATTGACAGAGATTGCATTATTGATGGGAAGAAGTACTTCGAAATTGTTCTGACACAGGGGTGCTGATGGCCCATCCATTGTTGCGACATATAAAAACAACAGGGGCTTCCATAACTGCTGCAAAATTTAAACTGGCATGGAAATCCCCCTGCCATTGTTCAGGCACAAATTAGAAAATATTTTACAAAAATACCTGTTAACATAGAGAAAGACATCAGAAAAAGTGACAAAGAAGGCATAGCTTGATATGCATTTTGTTAGATGACTATATTGGCTTTGCACTTGATAATTGTAATGGTATTGACTGTTACAATCTAAAAAGTACTTCAAAAATGGTAACCAAACAGTGTGTAGTTATATGTATTGCATAGCTACCTCACTGGTGCTGCCATCCCCCATATAAGTAACAACACAAGCATCCTTTTTATCCATTTTGAGAGAATAAGCGACACCAACAGCTTGAGGAAGCTGTGTTCTGAGATCAGAAATCAAAAGAAAGATTTTTGATTATTTATTTATATCGAAGGTAGTTTACTGTATACATGGATGTACTTATGCTGTAGGCGGGCATATGGTCTTACGCAATAGGCGACGAGATGGTGAAGTAGTTATGCTTGTTAGATCCATAATGGATTGGCATTTGCCTGCCTTTCCCATAATCAGCCTTGTTTCCAAAGCATTGGTGGGCGAATTCTTGCAGGGTGAAACCACGCCATAACAGAACTCCAGGTTCCCGGTACTGCATTACAATAAACATGTCCATTCTGCATCATTATTCTTTCTCACATGACCTTAAACATGTATTCAATCAAGGTATATTAAGGATAAAAGCCGGATGCCATGGAGTTCATTGAAGGGTTATAGAAGCAACCAAATCTAAACAGTTGAAATCAACATATTATTAGTACAATCATTGAAATTAACACGAGTGAGCTGGGAATTAAAAATGCTGAATGTATCGGGAGTTTGAACAAAGAAACGAATGAAACGTTGAAATTAAGTACAAGGTCCAGCCCTAAAGTGCTTACCTGAGGCAATACAATGTCATCCGGGGAGAGTGCTGCTGCTGATGCAACGCCGATGGCCTCTTCTCCAAATGAGGTGACATAGAAGGAAATTCTCCCTTGCCTTTGTGCTTCATAGAAGATAGTGTCCATGTTTCGAAGTGTAACCATGCCACTATACATCTTCACTGCAATTTCCCTGCTCACCTAAAGGATTTAATGTCAGGTAAATTAGCCAAGCAGATGTGCTGGACTTAAATATGAGAATGCAGACTAAAACCTTTACTCTCCTTCACTTTCCAGCCTTACGACAGGAAAAATTGAAGAATACAGTTGGAAATTGGGTATTAGGTTGAATTGCTTGTCTTTGAGGGAAGTTTTATTTCCCTAGAATGTATCCTAAGTTTTGGCCTGATTCTTCTTCTGATGATCGTTTCAACCACTGGTCAAAATTAACATGATTTTCACTGGAATTCGAATTGAGATGAAAGCCAAGATTCAAGCCATGGCAACAAAAGGATGGCTACAAATGAACAGATAGATACCTGTTCAAATCCGGAACTTGAAATTGGATAGCCATCATCATCAAGAACGCGATAACAAGGTATCCTTTGTTCAGAAGACTCGAAAATAAATTTCATCTTAGAAGTAAGTGCGACCCTTCCTCCAGGAAAATCCATGGACTGTTGCATTAAGAGTAATACGAACAGGTGAAAGAAGAGAGTCAAAGCCTTGTGTCATGTGAAGTTGAGATCTCATATCCAATACTAAAAGTGCAGAAAAATGATAACCATAAGACATGAAAGTAAATTGAATAATGAAGTTTGATGACAATGAAAATCAAAATGTCGTGGAACTCTTTGATCGAGTCTATGTGAATTCAAATCCAAAAGTTAAATTATGATCCATGCTACCATCTTCCTCAAGCTAGAATAAACAGTCTAGTTTATTCAAGTCACCTGAAAGTTTTCATTGTTGTCAACATTACACAAATGATGTTCTTGTTTAGCAGCTTCCTTCGATTCGAACCAGGTAATGGAGAAAAGGGTTGTTGAGTTACCAGCAGCTGCACTTAAATATGAAGGAATTTGCCCAACTTGTCTAATGTTTGATGAATGCACAAGTTGACGTATAGAGTTCCAGGAACTTTTGTTGAGAATTCTTAGCAAAGTCATGTCTGTTCTAAGTTGGAATCGAGAAGTTTGTTAGTATAACAGTTGCAGCTTAAAAGGAGGAGAATCCTTATTTATGTAGAAGAAAATATTTCGGGATTTAAGGGGCTGTTTGGTTTAGTTTTTAAAAACAGTTTTTATTCTCAAAATTTGATTTGAGTTTTTGGTTTTCTAATTTTCAAAAAAAGAGGAAGGTAAAGATCAAAAAATAGAAAACAAGCTGAACTTGAGTTTTCTTCTTTTTTTTTGGATACTTAGAGAATCATTCAAATCATGTATTTTTAGAGTCGTGTCCGGTAGGATGGGATGAAGAGATTGGGGTATCAGGTATGGCCTAGGGAATATTATTAGCATGGGGGAGTGGTAGGTGGTGACATCGTGTCTTATTGTGTGACCCATGTGTTGTTATTTTTATATTACATTATTATAATTCATACGGGTTCATGTCAATACATACAAAAAAATTTATTTAATGTTTTATATATGTCAAATATTAATATAACTTTATTACGTACATTTATCAATTATATCAATTTTAGAATTGTATCATAGCAATTTTGTATCGTGTTCGCGTTGATAAGTTAGAGTAAAACATGTGTTTTCACCTTAGTTAATTATCTTACTTCAAATTATTAAGTTTATCTTATTTATACGCATCCCATTAGTTATTAAGTTTATCCTAAGGGTGTTCAAATTTTCGATTAGTTATAATTTCTTACCCTACCCGACCCTATTGAATGGTTAACCAACAAAAATTGGGTAAAAATGCAGAAGAGTTTTAGGTTTTTCGATTAAATAGAGTAGGAATATGAAATAACCATTAATTTCCGTATTCTAACCCTATCTTACGCTCATTAATTTAGTTATATACCTAATTCCCTAACCAAATAGTTTAAACTTAAAATAATTGTTATTTTATTTGTGCAACAATTCTGATAGATTGATGTTTATACTTTTTTATATTTTGTTGTAATTGTTTTAAGTTGTAGTGTTATTGGTTTATTGTGTTATTAAATTGGTGCATGTTTTTTAATTGAATTGTTAAAATAATTCAAAAATTAATAATTACAAAAATGTTCACCCGATTTCTTACCCGACTTCTTATCCGATTAATTTGGCCGGAAGTTGGGTAAGAATACCACACTTGATCTGGTAGAGTAGGTCAAAATTTTTTTTTCGCAAAGTATCCGATAAGAAGACGGAATATCGTATTTTCTATCCATGGGGTAGGGTGAATACCCCTAGTTTACCCCAGTTATATCTATTCAATTAAACTATTAAATATATATATAAAAGAAATCGAAATAAAAATAGTAATTGAAGCGAAATTTTAATATTTCGAGGTGATCTATATTATTTTAAAGTGTTTTAAGATATTTTGATACATTTTCACAAATGTCTTTAAAATATTTTGAGGTATTTAAATATATTTTGGCATATTTTGACTAATATTTTTAAAAAAATTATTAATTTTTATTCTTCTTTAAAAATATTTTCGTATAAAAATAATAAACCGAAATAAAATTTTAATCATTACTTATACAGTAGGTTGAAATAAAATTGAATAAATTTAATTTTTAATTAGTGAATATAAATAGAATGAATTTAATAACTAATAGTGTGGGTTTAATAGCATGAAGTAAGAAAATTAAATGGAGTCGAAAATGAAATGTTTTTTGACAATCTCTGTCTCCGCCTCTACCTTCTCCGCTCCCAGTTGGGTATCCCAGAAGACGAGCCAAGGAATTGTTTAGCAGTAATGCTACGCTGAACAAATTTTGAAATATCATGTCATTTAAACTTTAAATTTGATCTTAAAATTTAATTAACGTAGTATTATTGATTGTTTAGTGAACGTCCCATACTTGACATATGGCTCCTTTCGGTGAATTACCCCCTTCCATTTATTTCTTTTTTATTTTATTTTATTTTTTTGGATCAAATTTTTCTCTTTGATTCACGTGGAGCAAATACAATCACACACCAAACTCGGGTCATTTCGTACGCCACCCAACAAGCACACGTTAAATAAGCAGTGCACGTCACAGCGGCACGTTGGCACCCAATAAATAAAAGGTAAATTTTGTAAGGGTTAAATTTTATTTTATTTATTTGACGTTTAAATTATGCATATTGCCCTTTTATAGTTGTTTTTATCCTCTAAGTTAACAAAAAGTATACTTCACATACCCAAAATATATTGTGAGATTTGCTTCCATTATTACTCTCTAAAAGACTATTGTCTTAGTGCTTAAAATACCCTTTATAATATAGGGTATAATACTTAAATAGGTAGGACATTGATCCCAGACCAAAAAACATGTAAAAAAAACATAAGTAATTTTTAGCTTCAGATCAAAACCTTACCTCAAGGAAAAAGAGACTTAACATGTTTGATTGAGATGTGTTGGTTCGTTGTCAAGTTCCATTAGTTTTATAGTCAAGAGTAAATCAGACGAAAAACCTGATTTTAAAACGTGGATATTATAGTAATTTTAATTCTATTAACAGCGTCAATTACTTCACTTTGGTACATAACAATAAGGGAATAATATGCATAATTTTAAACATCAAGTAGGTAAGATGTTTTTAATCGAAACCACAAGAGAGTAAAAAACAATTAACCCATTTTATAATTGGTCTTGTATTTTATCTTTGATTTTAATATGGTCTCTAAATTTTTAATTGTACTAATTTAGTTCCTCAACTATTAATTTCGTCTAAATTAAAATTTTTCATCAATTTTTATTGTTAGATCAAATCAAAACTCTACCAACAAAACTCAATTTTGCTTTTTTCCCTCAATTATTGATTTCTTACGTTACTTTTTATCAATTACTTGAATTAATTTTACATGATTCGAAAACCAAATAAGCGACAATTTTTAGATGAAATATATCCAAATACGATAAAAAAAAAAGAATACATTTGTAATGTTTATAATTGTGATAATATAAAATTAATAACTATTAATGAGTGATTGTATACTATAGATTTCTAATGTTTATGGGCGGAGCCAGTGCTGGCCCGGGGCACTGGCCCACCCTACAAATTTTATTTTTGTTATATGTGTTATATTTCTTAGATTATTTGGCATTGAAATCCGCCATAGCCATAACCCGAGTTATCGAGCAAGAAAACTCGTTTTCGCACCTGCTTGTTAGTGAGCAGAGTCTCTACACTTTTTGAATTTATTTTTTGTTTATCCGATTATTATTATTAGTTTATTTGTTAATTGATATTCCAATACTATGTTTTGACAATTTTTTATGAACAAGTCTATGGTACCAAAAAATAAATAGGTACCATACTTGCTATTTAAAAGTTTTAAAATTTTTTTTTATAAATTTTTACTGTTCATCATTTATGACTTTTTGAGAATTTGGGATCGATATTAGCAATTTTGAAGATTGATCTCGAGTACCTCAACATGTGGCAACTTTACACCATCATTGATCAATTGTGAAAAACTGATGGGTACTTGATTTTGAGTGTCTACGGTGAAAAAATTTCTCGGGGTCAATTATAAATAATTTCTAATTGCTCTGTTTTTTTTATGGTAGTGGTGGGCCGACGGTGGTGGTGGTGGTGACGGTGGTGGTTGGGGGTGATGGTGGGGCGGTGGGTGGAGGTAGGGGTGGTGGTGGTAGGGGAAATGGTGGGACAGTAGCGGTGGTGGTAGGATGGTGGCAACGATAGTGGTAAGGTAGGATGATGGCAGCGGTGGTGGTGGTGGTAGTAGAGTAGGGACGATGGGGGTGGCAGTGATGGTGGTGGGGACTGGGGATAGTTGTGGTGGTGGGTTGGTGGTAGGGTGGGGACGGTGGGGGTGGCGGTGATGGTGGTGGGGGCTGGGGATAGTTGTGGTGGTGGGTTGGTGGTAGGGTGGGGACGGTGGGGGTGGCGGTGATGGTGGTGGGGACTGGGGATAGTTGTGGTGGTGGGTTGGCGGATGTGGTGAGACGGTTCCAAATACTATTTTAAAAAAAAAATATTTATGAAAAGTTATAAAGTATTTTTAAAAAGTCACTCAAACACACCTTTAAGACTCTATTCTCTATTAAATTTGAAGTGTTAATATTAGTCGTCGGATTAACTTTAAAGTAAAATCTAAAAGAGTTTCAACCGCAAATAACAAAAGCCATTTTGTTTTTCTTTTAAAATTTGAATTGTATTATATTTTATTATATACTAATTATTGTCTGTGCCTGAAGCCACATAGTAATAAAAAATAGTAAACAATAAATATATTTGTATTCATATCCAAAATTAAATCACAAACATAAAGAAGAGATAAAGGAATTTAAGCATCGATTTTGTAGTGGGGGGTGAGAAGTGGTGGGCGACAGTGGTGGTGGTACGAGACGGTGATGGTTTTAGTGGATGACAACAATCGTGGTGACGGTGGTGGCTGCGAGGGTGGCGGCAATGAATGTGGTGTTGGTGGAGACGACAATGACGGTGGTGGTGGTGGCGACAGTGATGATGGTGACAGTGGCTGTGGCTGTGATAGTAGCGGTGATGGTGGCGGTGGCTGTGGCGCCGACTGCGATGGTGGTGGTGGTGGTGGCAGCAGTGGTGGTGATGGCGATAGTAGAGGTGGCAATGGCGATAGCAATGGTGGTGGGGGTAGTGGTTGTGGCGGTGGTGGTCGTGGCGACGACAACAATGGTGATGGTGACGGTTGGGGTAGGGGGTGGTGGTGATGGCAACAGCGACGGCGGTGGTGTGGGTGGTGACGGCGACGGTGGTGGTGGTGGTGGTGGTAGTGGGGTTGGCAGTGGTGGTGGTGGTGGTAGTGGGGTTGGCAGTGGTGATGGTGGTGGTGGTGGTGACGGCGATGGTGGTGGTGATGGTGGGGGTGGTGGTGGCGGCAATGGCGACGGTGGCAGTGGTGGTGCTGCTGCGGTTTTTTTTTTTGGTCAAATAGTGGGAAGGTTTCAAACACTATTTTTTTTTAAAATTATTTATGAGAAATAATTTTTAAAAGTACTTTTAAAAAGTCATTTCAAACATAACATTAGGGGCCTATTTTTACTATTAAATTTAGGGTGTTAATATTAGTTGTTGAATTAACTTTAAAATAAAATTTAAACCGATCTTAACCGCGAATAGCAAAAATTATTTTATTTATCTTTTGAGATTTGAATTGTTAACTACTTTATTATATATTAGTTATTGTCTGTGCTTGAAGGCACATATTAAAAAAATAATAAATAATAAACATATTTATATTTATATCTAAAATCAAATCACAAATATAGATAAGAGATAAAAGAATTTAAATATCGATTTATAGTGGGAGTGAGAGGTGGTGAGCGACAGTGGTGGTGGTAGGAGACGGTGATGGTTGTGGTAGGTGGCAATGACTATGGTGGTGGTGGCGGTGATGGCGGCAACGGTGGTGGTGGTGATGGTGGTGGTGGCAGTGGCAACGACGATAGTGGTAGTGATGGTGGCAGCAACGGTGGTGGTGGCGGCGACGACGACGGTGGTGGTGGTGGTGATGGCAGCAACGACGGTGGTGGTAGTGGTAGTGGGGACGGTGATGGTGGGCAGCGACGATGGTGGTGGCGGTGGAGACTATGACGATGGTGGCGGTGATAGCGACGTCGGTAGTGGGGTGGGGTGCGGCGGTGGTGGCGACAGTGGCATCAGTGGTGGTGATGGTGGCAGCGAAGACGATGGTGGTGGTGGCGACGACTGCGACGGTAGTGGTGGTGGTGGGGGTGGCGGCGATGGTGGTGGTGGGGGTGGCGACGATGGCGGCGGCGGTGGCGGTGGCGGTGGTAGAAGTAGTAGTGAGACAGTTTCAAACACTATTTTTTTAAAGTATTTATAATAAATGATTTTTAAAAGCATTTTTGAAAAATCACTCCAACCACACCCTTAGTGGTCTATTTTTCCTATTATATTTAGGGTGTTAATATTAACCGTTATATTAATTTTAAAGTAAAATTTAAAACGATCTCAACCGCGAGTAGCAAAATTATTTTGTTTATTTTTTGAAATTTGAATTGTAAACTACTTTATTATATATATATATTAAATTCCACAAATAATTCTTAGATATACTGCACACATGGATTCCACAAATAATTCTTGTCAATGTAAAGAATATTTTTATTGGGGGCCCACTTTCTATACTAACATAATTCTAACAGTACCAAAATACTTACACTCGGGGAATGCAAAAAATTCCCGGGGGGGGGGGGGGGGGGGCAGTTCTACACCGACACAATTTTAATAGTACCAACATAGCTAAACCCAGGGATTACCAAAAATTCAGGGGGGCGAGTTTATAGACCAACACAATTTTAACAGTGCCAAAATAGCTACCCCCAGGGATTGCAAAAAAATCAGGGTGATGGACCTGATGG